ATGGTTTGTGTCTATACATTCCTCCCAAAGCCTCATGCAGTCATGGGGTAGGCTTCTAAAGTTTTTAATTGATACATAGTCCCATGCTGGGATTTTGGGTGTGAGTGGAACACTCACCCCAGGGCTAGTAGCCTGCTACAATATAAGGAGGCATAGAGGTCTAGTCTCCCCTTTTGCTCTCCCTACTTTTGCTGTCGTCTGCTGCCTTGAAAAGTTGCCCCTTGCCATGACATCCTGTCTTGGAGCCAGATAATTGCAGACTGAAACCCCCCAACAAACTGCAAACTTTGCTCCCTTAATTTTGAGTGTCAGGTATTTTACCTCAGAAACAAGAAAAAAGTAATCGAGACACCATGAGACTGCTTTTCTCAGCCTCTTTGTAAATAAGTGTAGGCTTGATCATCTGACTAAGTTCTAGTAAAAGAAAAAAAAAATGTGGTGGTATAACTGGGGACATTCCACTTAAAGAGAAAAGGATGTATACTGTCCTTTTTCCTTTCTTTATCATATTGCTTAGCATATGGATGAGATAGGGCTCCAGCAGCCTTTGGTCCAGGGGGATGAGAGCCAAACTCAAGAGATGACAAAGAAATAAGCTAGAAATTACCTGGGTCTCTGCCTATTTTATGAAACCATTGTACCTCTGGGGCTGCCAACTTTCAGCTTCTCTACAATGTGAGAGAATTAAACCCATTTAGGTCACTGCTATTTGAAGGTGCTCTGTCTTGTATACCTCTAATTTTATTCAGAACACTGACCAACTGGTCTACCACATTCTAACACTGCTATCTCCTTGCCTTAGGTCACATCACTGTCCAGACAGGGAATATCCTCCCCCTGCCTGTACTTACTTAAATCCCATCCATCCTTTGAAGGATGGATCAAATTCCACCTCCTACAGGAGATTTCCCTTCCACTTCCTCCCCTGAACTCTGGTGCTGTCTGCCTGCCCCCACTGCTTGGGCATCTGATCTTGCCTTATGAGTGAGTCATTCCCCCATTCTTATACCCTGACTTAAGGAGGGTAAGTCAGGGAGGCTCACCACCTCAGGGAGGCTCACCACCTCAGGGAGGCTCACCACTTCTAAAGGCAACGCCCATGATTTCCAGGTCCTTGCATTTCCATAGCTTACAAGATACTTAAATAAATAAGATCCTCACAGCTTCTTTTACTTCCATCAGGCTGAGGCTAGAAAGTACACAAATAAACTCAGAAAAAAAAAAAAAGGAAAGGCAGGAAGAGTTGAGGGAAGTTAGTATATCTAAAACTACTTCTGGTATCAAAAGGTAGTTTGGGGAAAAAGTTGATATATTTCTTTCAAATTCTAAGGCATAGACCTCAAACTCTGCCTCAAAACACAGTGTCAGGAGGCACTATTTACACTGGAAATAATGCAAGGGAAACCTCCTCTCTTCAGAGATGCAAAAGCCCGTCCTTTCGGGGGAAAAACAAAATAGCAAGTCTTACTTGGGGACAGAGGTGCAACTCTAGTCTCAGCTTCTGAGGGGGATGATGCAGAAGAATTGTTTGCCGACAAGAATTAGAAGCCAGCCTGGGCAGCTTTACTGAGCTGGATCTAAACTGGTATCTTCTCATTGAATATGGCATCTCCAACATAAACATCAGATCTATGAATAGGTTAGTAGATCTTTCACAAAACAAAAGACGGAAACAAGTGATAACAACCAAGGTATTTCCACATAATATACTTGCAATAGATTCTTTGCAAATAAATATCAATTTAAAATTCACTTTTACTTTTAAAAAAAAAGTATGTTTCAAGCATTCTAGGACCAAGGTAAATGACTTGGTGCAAATATAGTTAATTTGTAAAAAACAATCTAATGACCTAAAAATTCTCTATGTATTTTTTTACCTTATGGTTTGAAATCATTAACCCCAACGGAAAAAGCCAAGGAAACACTGTTCCACAAGGATTCTCGATGCAGAGCTTGAGACACAGGCTGACACAACAAGAAGATGTCAACAAAGATAATTACTATGGGGTGAGGGCAACGGAAACTTCTAATTTACAGTAAGCCTAGGTGGAAACATGCCCAAATTGTTTAAGGACACGTCCTGATTGCCTCAAAATATCCTGACTGTGAGAGCAAAAAGGCAGATAATGGAGAAGATCAGACATTTCCATCCCACCGAAAGCAATCAGGCACATTTGGAACCTGGAGAGGGCTATCAAAGTCATTGTAAATGACTCAAGAAGCAGAGCTTGGCAGTAGAAGGATCAAGTTGAGAAATAAGAAGTTTCCTGCTGAAATAACACTGGTGCCGCTCTGAGATCTGCTTCCAGAACTGAGTAACGGCTGTTCGCACGTTCACAAGGCACACAAGGCAGGTAAGCAGCTGCAGCTGGGCCCTGTGGCCCTTCAGCCTGTACAAGGTTTGCGCACAATTTATCATTTCCTTTGCCGCCTCGTTTCTACTGACACTCAGCCTGCCTTTTAACCCGCCTGCCAAAACTGCCCACTTCCTGGCCCAAGAGTCCAGGATTCGGTGCCAACCCCGCTGCAACGCCAGATGCCACTTGGGGATGGCGCCTGTGGACACGGAGGGACAGCAGAGCCCCAGAGAAATTCTACCCTTCTCAGGCGGAGTTACCACTTGTGACCGCCAGGTGGTAGTAGCGAGTAAGGAGACGCCTGAGTCTGTGGAACTTCTGTTTCTGAAGGGGGAGAAACCGGATGCTGTGGCTTTGGAGACAAGGAGCCCTATCATCACATTCGCAAGTAGCCCTGACTATTTCATTTACTTGGTTGTCATCTTACGTTATAAACTCAGCATGCCACCTCTAGGTCGGTTTTAATTCACATCTTTCCCATACTCAAGAGAAAATTAAGCATGGCTCACTTCCACAGGACTAGCATTTTCCACCTATCTCCTTTCCCAAGAAGATGGCAACATAAACCTGAGTTTTCTATCCATACTTATCAGCCCCATGTAAGTCATCACATGAGCATGTTAGCAGTTTCTGTTTATATCCATTGTTCTTCGTATGTGATTCGCAATGCTTCAGCAACATGCTTGAGTGTTTCCAGTGTGGGACCCACAGAACAGAGAATCCAGCATAGACACTGAATTATACAAAGCCAGAACCTAGGGCCACTTCATGGCCAGCTTTACTGAGCTGGAATTAAACAGGTATCTTCTCACTGGATGTGGCATCTCCAACACAGACATCAGATCTATGAGTAGTTTAGGGAAGCTCTCTAGGGTCACAGCTACTGTACTTCCCCTTACAAGCTGAAGACATAGCTTTTGGAACACAAGACCATGATGAGCCAGGCCTTCTGGCATCTCAACACCTATCGTTACAGTTTACCCAGCCACCAAACAACATATTCTATTCACCTCTGCCTCTGTGTATCCAAAGGCACAAGATTTCCTGTCAGCTTTCCCCCATGTACAGGGCATCTACTGAGTGCTCCTCTCACCACTATCCTCTTAACTTGATCCTGCGTGGGCTTGCTTTGCAACATCTCACAGAAAAACATGCTGATGACAGAGGAGAAATATAATCTTCTGGATAAAAGTTCATGAGGTTCAGTTTAAGAGTTTGCAAGCAGCTTAATGTCCTCACCTTGCCACAGGGAACTATGCAAAAGTTTTTAGTGCTAAGTGGCATAACTGAGGCATATGAGCTGGGAATGGAGTCTTGTTACTAGGAGAACCAAAGCTGACCCTGTCATTCTTAGGACAGCCCACTTGTAACTGCTGTAAGAAGACAGGACAAAGATAGAGGGTCCCAGCAAACAGAAGACTTCTCTTCAGATCGCATGCCCCAGTGGGATTTGGTTAGGGTCCAGTTCATATGCCACATTTGTTGCTTACCTGTGTCCACATTCCTTGACTCATTAAAAGCATTTCACAGAGTGATCAGGAGGAAACTCAAAGGCATTTCTCTGGACAGAGGGAACTGCAATAATCCCCAGGACCTTGGCTTCCCCAATGAAGCAAAACCCCCTTCCTTTGCTCTGTGTCATAGCCCACTCCACCATAGACATGACCAGCTAGTCGTTGTCCTCTGAGAACAAGTGTTTCCCAGCCTAGACCAAAAAAGAGACAACAAAGGACAAGCTTGTGGGGCACAAAGCCAGTCTCACCATTTACCGACGATAAGGAACAATGCTGTATGTTTCCAGAGGTAGTGCTACAGTTCTGCCAGAGATCAGTTGAGTGTCCATTGCCCACAATCCATTGCTGGAAAAAATTAGATATGTAGAATCAGGTCAGGGAGCAGGCCAAGAGATAGCAAATAGCAGCAGCCTCATCTGCCTGACAGCAGATGACCCCAGCCCCGCCCTGCCCTGCCTTGCCCTGCCCTGCCCATGACACTCTCCAGCAAAGTTCAGTCATGACCCAGAAACAAGAGAGGTGGCAGCATGGCACATAAGGAGGTGAACATTTCTGTTTTCACTTTACAAATGGAAAAATACCCTCCCTCCCCACACATACTATTATTTGCAGAGGTGTGTAGTGAGATAGAAAAATACTCCCCCCCACACACACACTATGTGCAGGGGTGAGTAGTGAGGCAGAGCAGTTATGGGCTCACAGCAGAGCAACTCCATTTCGTCACATCTCTTCTCTCCTGCACCACCATTTTTCTAAGCCCATTTCTTACTTACAATTCCTATTAGTCAGACAAGATTAGCATCAGGCATAATTAAGGTCTTGGGAAGATGCTTATAAATGATAAAGCAATTTGCAAATTCCCAAAAGAACAATTTTTTTCAGACTAGGAAATCATGCTTACAACTTGCCTTACACTACTAAGATGTCAAAGCCATAGGTACTTAGCTCCCTGAGTTGGGTTTCATCTTCATAGCATAAATAAATAAATAAATATTGTTTAAAACTCGCGTCTGATGGCCTGGTAGCGAACGTCATTCTGCTGACCTGTTCATAGTTTTGGAGATTTGACTAATGAGGTGCTGTGGTTACATCATAAAGCAAGCCTGGGACTTGCAAACTTTTCTAATTTCAAGTACTAAAGGGCTTTACAAGTTAAGTCATATGAACTATGATGGGAAGGGGGATTTTTTTTTTCACAAATTCTCCACTTCTTCCATGATGCTGCGACAAGAAAAAAAAAAAAAAAGCTAAACAATTTTATCAAAATGAAGGCTGAGGCTGTTCTTTAAATTGGCCCTGAAATTATACCGTTTAAACAGAGGCCTGAACAGTTAACTTAAACCAGCGCTGGCTCACTTCCTACTCCTGATTCTGCTCTGGTTTTCTCAAAACAACTGAAAAGAGGCAGATTGTCAGACACAGCAAAACTACTTTGAACATGGCAGACCTCATGGTGTGTGCAAAAAACTTTCGCGCACCCAGAAGAGGGATTTCCCCCACCGCCAGCCCCAGGACCTTCCCGGTCCGCCGCTGGGCACTCACGCTGACGATCGTGGAGACGAACAGCAACACTAGCACTGCGACGTGCAGGACAATGATTCCCAGCAACAGGAGGAGCATCGTGGCAGCGAGACGTGCTCAGCGGAGTTCCTCTTGCTGGAAGAGAGAGCCCGAGCGGAGCGTGAGCGGCGCGCGCTGGCTGGAGTGCTGCGCGGAGGGAGGGTCCCGCGCCCGCGGAACGCCCTGCCTGGCACCGCGCTCTGCCCAGGGCCTGGCCCGGCCGCCCACGCCGCGGAGCGCGCCTTCAAGCCGCCTGCGGGACTGCCAGGAGGGGGCGGCAGCTGACAGCCAGATCAACGCCCAGCGAGCGGCAGGGCCCGCCGACAACGAAACATCTTTTGGTTTTTGAACAAAACAGGCAGTGTATCCGTCTAAATCACCCTGGAGGAGAGGATATCCAGAAGGGTGAGGGGAGGCCACCTCACGCTCCCACCCAACCCGGCGCCTGCCAGGAACAGCTCGATTAGGGAGAGAAGAGGGGCTGGCCACCCTCTCCTAGAATCGAGATCAGATGACGAATCCCCGCCCCCCCCCTCCTGGAGCGGAGGAAGTTGGGTCCTTCAGTTCTGCCAGGAACTTGGGGTCACCAGCGACCTGTTCTGAAGGAAAATGCTCTAGGGTGACCACTTTCTCAAATCGCAGTGCGCCCTGCATTCCGTTAGTTGCTTTCCAAAGTTCCCACCCAGCGGAGGGGAGGAGTTCCCACCTTGCGGGCAACAGCAGCGGCGCGGGCCTCAGCTTGGCCTGTGGGCTCAGCAGCGAGGGCGCGGAGCCCGAGGAGAGTGGAAAGGAAAGAACGGCCTGGGAGGGTTGCCTGGACGCCACCCTCCCCCTCCGAGCACTTTCCTAGCCACTGGGGGACAGAGATGGGGATGTCCTGCTCCCGGGTGAGGCCCGAGGATCCACTTGCAAGGTTGGTCTGCGAGTACTTAAGAGCCCAGAAGCGGACCCGATCCAGCGTCGGAAAAAGTCTGGGCGCGGCAACAACCAGCCCAAACTATCGGGCAGGAGACAGAGAATAAAGTGTTGATTTGGGAACGAGGAGAAATCTAGCCCATCAGCGCAGGCAGTCGATGCCATGCGGTCCCCACCTAGACCTACGTTTCACAGTCTTTAAGAGAACTGAAAGGTTAGGTCGACTTGGGGACAAGTACAGTCTTAGAAGACCGGCTGCGTCCATGAGGACCAGTTAAGGCCAGAGGCTTGGACAGGGAAAAGGGTTCAATTAGTTTTTAAAAGTATCCGATCTCAGAAGCCTTCGCTTCTCTCCACAAGCAACACATTCAAAGAAACCGTGGAATACACAGAAAAAATAAGCAAAATTTTCTCTTTTCTTCAAGAGGATTAAAATTAAATTTGACGGTTCCTAATGCCCAGGAGAATTTGGGTACATGGCGAGGACCACAGAGTTCCAGGTCCCGGGCTGCGATGTCTACCTTAGGGATTCTTTTACCAGTGCACGCTGCAGCCAACGCCCCTCCAACAAGGCTTACACCGCCCTTTCGTGTCTTCCACCCAGACATCACCCGTGCCCTGTCGGGTGTACAGACAAAACCGTACCTCTCTCCCAGGGCAGAAAGGAAACGGAAATGAGGCTGGCAGGGGTCTCTGCGCTCCAGACAGAAAACTTAGGGACCCGGCAAGAGCCTGCGCCTGTTCTCAGCTTTCGGGCCAACCACGGCGGATGATGCCCACGTTTCTCCTCCAGTTTTCCCCGCAAAGTTACTTACAGCCCCAAGGAATAGTTGCTCTGGATCAAGTTGGCCGGTGGCACAAACTCGGTGCGGTCCCTGGATTGCTGGAGTCCCCAAAGACAGCTGCACTGCGGGGCTGCGGGCGCGCAAAGCAAGGGGGCAGTGGGAGGCTCCCGGCGTTCCCCTTTAACGGGAACAACGCCCTGTTTGCGTCGCGGCAGTAGGGTGTGTCCCCGGTCAGCGTGTGCGGGAGGGCGGGACTCGAGGAGGAGAGGGGGCCGGAGGGAGGGAGGCCGGGAGACAGTTACTTAGAAATGCGCCTCGGGAAAAAGCCGAGCTCTGCAAAACGCCCGAGACTTGAAACTAGAAGCCGCTGAGTTTCCCGCTTCTACCTCCTCCAGCCCCGCCTTGCTCTTGGAAACTCGCTGTTGACCGATAATCGGCTTTTGGATCCCCTCATCCTATTTGAGAAAAGCCTGCAAGATGTTGCTCTCTGGATACCCAGTGCTGTACTTTGGAGCGCACTGACGCTTAAGCTGGGCTGGGCCTGGGGTTCTCCACTACCCACAAGGGCGGGGAGTGCTTAAGCGAAGGGAGACGTCTTCCTCTTCGTAGGTCCTGGTGCTGCTGGTCTGCCTGGCATCTGAGCTGGACGCGCCTGTACCATGCCCATGTCCACTACCAGTGTCTGCACCTAGAAGGAGCGCGGGCTTCCTAGGATTCCAGGAGACCGATCTCAAAGTTCGGCTTGGAGGAGAGTGGAGAATTGAGGAAAGAGAGACAGCACGCCCTGAAATCTAAGCTCCTCCTAGCTTAGGCAAAACCAGACTACAAGTTTGCCTGCGGCAGTCTGGTTTGGCGGCCAGCCTTGGCCAGAATCCGGGAAGCGGAGTCGGGGAGTGGGGAAGTGACTGTCCGAGGTGGGGGAAAGCAGCCAAAGAAATCAGCTGATTCACACCCGCAGGAGGGTGTTCCCCACCCTCTTAGAAAATCTAGCTCCTCTTGGCTCAGAGCAGGTGCGCCCAAGGAACTCTTCACGCCGGCCAACTCCATGAAACACCAAAGGCGTGCCCGAATGCGGATGTTAAACGCCTAATGCAGCACTTTGCGCGGGCGCGCGCGCACGCGCTCACGCATACACGCTCCCTACTTGCTTGCTAGTTGGTGTACTGTATCCTAAAATCTTACTACCCTAAGTCATCCAAATAATTCCTCACTGTTCAAACCTGACTACTATTTTAACTACCTGTGTACTCTTTCAGGAGAAATCAATTTGAAGCGTTGTTCGACAAATGGTCTCTTTACAACTCTTATCAGATTCAAAAGAATATTTGTCAGTTCTTCATACAGTGCCCATTATTTACCTGCTTGGTGAGGGAGGCAATGTGTTGCCAGGGTTCTGAGGTCGGGTAAACCTGATCACCTTGATGATCCCTGTTGGGAAGTTGGGCAATTTTTGAAGTTTGCTGAAGTTTGGTTTTCTGATCTACAGAGAGGGCTAATATTCTTTCAAAGGCACATGGTGATAATTAAAGGAGACAGTGTGTACAAAAAGGTAAGTGTAGCTATCTGCGGCAAAATAAGAGCCCAGCCCCCAATTCTGAAGACTGTTATTATAATGTCATATTTTCCTTTCACATCTACTACTTCCAGGAAGACTTCACTACTTTTGCACTAAAATTACGTTCGATGCCCAGTTATACAGTTATTTTAGAGACACATACAAGTGAATGACTAAAGAAATCAAAATATTTTTCTCCACTTTTTGTGTCACGTATAGATCAGATCTGCCCTAAAATTATTACCTCATTTCATGCTATTCTAATTTTTAATTGTGTAATCAAGAGGTGGTCACTGCCTACCCAGTACTGTTCTAAGTTCTTTTCAAGTATTAGCAGATTCCATTCAAAATTTTCTTCCCCTTGTTTTCCAACTCGGTTCTTTAATGAAGTATTATACATCTAGAAAGTTACACATATTAAGTCCACACACAGCTCAATTCTTCTTTTCTCTTGAATCCAATATCTTAATCAATAACCACCTAAGTCATAGCCACGTCATAAGCCACGAGACAGGTGACCCCATCAGTTTCTTGCTGTCTCTTGCTTTCTGCCTGGCCCCCAGTAGGAAGAAAAAATGCTCCTCAGTGCAGTGCCCATCATGGTGGGCCACACCCAGAGCCCACGGGCTGTACCCGGGGCCCACTTCAGGGCCACTGGTGGAAAGGTCTTCCTAACCCACTTACCATGCTGACTTGCCAGCTATGTGCACACAGCTGTTTTCTGTCACAAAGCTATGACCCCTTTGTCTCTTCCAGTCTGGATGTCTTAGGGCTTTTAGATGCTCTCAAATGACTTTCTTGCTACCCAAGCCAAAGTCTACATCCAGCAGTCAAACAAAGATGTAAAAACCCCTCTGATTCCCCAGTAGTTCCAACACACATGTACTGTTTCCATTGCAATCCTTTCCTTTTGAAGTTGTTGCAGGGGGTGGGGAATTGGGTAGCTCTCTGTAAAGCACACATCACCCAGAGGCATAATTTGCCAATGAAACTCACCAGGCCAAACAGCGTAATCCCTTCCTCCACACGGATATCTTTGCAAAGGGTTGCAAGGCAAGGCCCTTCCCACAGGGCAGCTGGAGACCTGCAGCTGATAGACTCTAAGCCTCACTGCCTCCAACCGGGCTGCCTGAGATGCTCCCTGATGGTGCTCCCTGTAACTGAAGCTAGACCAGGCTTCTTTCCAGTTTATTCAGAGGCTGGTCCAATGCTGGGATATGTCATGGTGGCCTGAGAGGTTCCCAGCCTCTACTATTTAAAGCGACAGTGTCCAATTTTGTGAAGCTTCTATAATAGTGATCCCAAGAGGCGCTGCAGAAAATGAAAAGTCTGGAATCAACTCAGAGAAGAGCTTTGAGTATGTCTGAAACCTGGACAGCCAAAACTCTTTTCCCTGAAATCCAGCTGGTATACTAGTAGAAAGAACCAGCTGATTCCTATTTTTTTCTCAACTCAGTGAATTCCACAGTGATGAAATCTATTGGAAGAAAAGTCTCTGCACGTAATGTTGTGTGTGTGCGGATATGTTTCATTTTAAATCTACAATGTGCTCTTACAAAGCTCCCACACTGCATGCTCGCAGTGTACTAGGATGAAACAGGGGGAAAGTCTTCCAGCTCTGTGTTTTAAGTCCTTCATGAAGTCATTATTAAATATCAACCCTCATGAGACAAGTAAACAAAATTCTACTAAAAATATTCCAATCCCTCAGGCAGGATACGAAAGAAAGCCAATTGGAAAGTGGTAGAGAGGGTTGCAAATGGAGGCATATTGATATTCTGGTTCTTTACAGCCTGTATCTACTCCTCCAAGCTCTCCTAAAGAGTCCCCTGTCTCAAGCAACTGCTCCTAAGTGGATGCTTGATGACACGGGGGGTGGGGGGGTGGGGGGGAGCCCATAAAATTTGGGGAGGGCGGTGTCTGCCACAGAAACTTTGTGTACTACCGCTCTCCCCAGTCAAGAGCAGATCGTCATGGTCTTCAATTATTCTACTTATAGCCAGCATCTGTCCCATCCAGACAAAGCAATTTCATGTTTCTCCATTTACATAAGCCATTTTTATTCCCCACCCACCCACCCAGTGGTTCTCTGCCCTAACTGGTCATAAGAACAGTCATTTGCCAATAACTTTTTTTTTTTTTTTGTATGTTTAGAGAACAGTCTACAGGGTGTTCAGGTTCTCACTGCTAGATTAGACTCATAGTGATCCACCTGTTTACAGCCTCCCAAGAGCTGGGATTACAGGCGCATGCCACCACACCCAGTCTCAATTGCCATCTCAGTGTGCCCCTGGGGGCAGGGCCAGCATGGCAGGCCCAGGGATCAAACCTCTGGCCCTTGTGTCTGCTTGCAGGTGCTTTAATTCACTGAGCTATTTGGCCAGCCCTCATTTGCCAATAACTTGACCTTGGCCTAGAGATGCAGAAGCTGGTGTTCAGGGAAGGAGCTCAGGTACGGGTCATTTGTAATGTTCTCCTTGTCCAGGATGTTTTATTGAGCATTAGGATTGTCTGGAGTTCGTACACCTATATTTTCCTTTTTCTCCCTTCCATAGTGGAATACAAATGGGAGTGTGGGCAACATGCACACCACTGTATAAGTTGTAGTTTAGTGTTGCCAGGTAAAGCGGGGGCGGGGGAGAGAGAGAGAGAGAGAGAGAGAGAGAGAGAGAGAGAGAGAGAGAGAGAGAGAGAGAGACCTCTCCCCCAGCCTTCCTCTGACATGGTCTATACAGGTTGCTGGAAAACCATGAGCCCGAATTTTCTGACTTCACCAGAGAGCCCCTTCATGGTGCCTCCAAGATTAAATTCCAGAGGTTACAGGACAGAGGATGCTGCCCCGAGGCCAGAACTAAACATGGACACAATTGAGGAGATCATGTCTGACTCCTGAGTTGGGAGCTAAGAATTCAGAGGAAAGGGATGGAGCAGGATGAGGGATGATGTGTGAATTTTGCTTCTGACTGAAAAGGATCAATCTGATTATCCAGCCCCCTCTTCCTTTATGAACTTCTCTTGTTAGGACCTGCTTTCCTGACCATGCATCTCCTTTTGTTTCTTCCATTCCCAGGAGTGAATCCCTGCAGGACCTGCTAGCTGCTGACAAGAGAACTAGTTCCGGTTACAGAATGAGTTCACTGGTTTCACCCACTGGGTACCAACACACTTGCCTCTGTCTACCTGGGTTGGGCTCAGTGCCTCCCTAGGAAGTGAACAAAGAAGAAAAGTTTTCTGGTCTCCTCCAACTTTAAGTAATCCTCTGTACTGAGCCAGATGAAACCTCTCCCCAGGAATATGTACTGAACAATGAGTCTTTGGGGCCACAGACAACATTTCACTGGGACCCTTCCTCTAATAACCACACAGAAGCCAGGTGTGGTGGAGCACACCTGTAAATCCAGCACTTGGGAGGAAGAGACAAGAGGATCACCAGAAGTTTGAGGCCAGCCTGGGCTATGTAGTGAGACCCTGTTTCAAAAAACAAAACTAAACAAAATAATCACAAGGAACAGTCATCCAATTATATTTATCACAATTATTATTTTATTATGATTTCTTTTTATACATAAAGAAAATAATTATAAAACTTTCTTAAGAAAAATAGTTAAATCAAAGAAGACTGGTTAATTCCAAAACCTGAACTTTTCTGCTGTACCATTCACCATCACCTTGA